GTTTGTATGTGTATGTGTGTGCGTGTATTTGTTTATATGCGTGTGTGTGTGTGTGTGTGTGTGTGCTAATTATTATTGAAATATCAGTTCCTTGTGGGGTTCAGGGGATCTCGTAGTCGAGCAGTCTCGACTAGAGCTTTCTTACTTGTTTTTCTTTGTGTTTTGCTAATTGCTGCTCCAGCGCAGCTACCACAAAATGATTCGTTATCAAATCAACGCATCGCTAAATTAGACAAGCTATTGAGATATGTATATACATATATGTATGTCTAGATAGTAGGCCGCATATTAGATACACTGACTCAGTTGTTAATTTAGACTAACCCTACAGAAGGCATAAGACTAAATGTCACTAAGAATAATATCAGCATTTCTATATAAATAAGGCTCTACATACATACATACATAAAGATAAATATCGTTTTTAATATCAAGTATATAAACTATCTAGTAAGCATACATATATACATACATATATCCATAAAGCATATCTATATAAATATTTATTAGAGAATCTATCTGGCTGTGCTTATAGTCCACATACTCCTCTATGGTTAGTGTATAGGAATGCCTTCTAGGCAGCTCTTGTGGCTGATTGGCATTTGGATGATGAGCCACGCTCAGCTTAAGTGAACATTGTTATTGTTGTCATTGTCATTGTTGTTGCTGTTGCTGTTGCTGTTGTTGTTTATAGTAATGTGTAACTGCGGCTGATGCTGATGACTGACTTGGCTTGTTATTTGTTGCTGTTGCTGTTGCTGTGGTTGTTTGGCATAAGGCAAGTGAAAGTTGACGTTTGCCATGCGCAACTCCCAGCGAGCTTTCGTCTGGCATCTCTTTTTCATATAAGGGCATTGCTGCTGCTGCTGCTGCTGCTGCTGCTGCTGTTGCTGCTGTTGTTGCTGCTGTTGCTACTGCCTTTTGTTTTCTTTTTTAATTAACACACTCAAATTTCTGCTTACAGGCATTTCTACATATCGTTATCGTTATCGCACGCGTTATCGCCGCCTCTACACAAAAATCAAACAAACAAAAGAAATGCTTTTTCGGTCTTCCTGTCTAATTAGCTTAGCGGCCGCCTCAACTGCAGCTGCCAAGTCTTTTGTTACTGGCAAACATTAAATAATGTGAAAAGTGCCAGCAGCTAGTGAAAATGCAATGAAAAGTTGTTGCTCTTGTTGCCTGCTGCTCACTGTTCGTTGCTTGTGGGCTGTTTGTTTGCTTTAGCAGAGGGAGCTCTGCTTGGCGTCCGTCTATTGATTGAAATGACAATTGTAGCTGTCTCCTTGACTGGTCGTTGTCGTCGTTGACTAGAAACTAGGTGAACCACTGCACTGTGGCACACACAGACTATTTGTTCTAATTCTTGATAATATACGTGGTGTGCGCAGATGACCAGCAATTTGGGCTAGATGAGCCGGATATTGAGTAGCATCTGACTTTTGTTGCCATCGGTGACACACGAATTGCAGCAATCAATGCCAACTGGCAAGACTTGGGCATTATCTCCACAGATATCGATCTCTATATATCTATAATTATCATTTAGTTTATTGCATGCCAGCGCATTCCGTCGCTGTCAATTAGCCAAGCCATAAAATGCATTTGATGTAACATAAAGCTAATTTCTTTGCGTCTTTTGATGAGTTTTTGGCAGCCAGCAGCAGCAGCAGCAACATCAGCTGGCTTGGCTATTTCCATTAAATTAATTGAACGCTTTCACAAATTCCCACTGCCGCACACTTTTTGGCAAGACAAATGTCCAGCATCCGAATCGTGAGGGGAAGGGGGAGGGGAGCTTACGACAGCAGCTATAGATTTTGCTTAATTGAGCTCGCCTGAAGCTGACAAATTTTTGCTGAGCGTAGCCCAGCCCAGCCCAGCTAAGCAGAGATGAAGCCCCAAAGCAGACAATGGGCACGGGCTTTGCTTAAAACACACAACAAAACAGAACTCAAAGCAGAGTTTTTTTTTTTTGTTCGTTTGTCAATTTTTATGTGTTGGAATGTTTTTGTTTACCAATTCGATTGCTGCTTTGGCTTTTGCTTGCTAAGTAAAAGTTTCACTGCCAAGCAGATGCTGTGAGCTCGCTGTGTGTGTGTGTGTGTGTGTGTGTGTCTGCTGCTTCTTTAATATAACGGCAACACACACACGCACACATGCGCATTTGTGGTTGTGGTAAATGATCGATATTATTTGCCATTGTGGCATAGAAATTGTGGCCCCCCCATGCGTAATTAAGCACTAACATATGTCTCTATCGAGCCAGCTGTACGTGTATGTGTATACATATACATATATCTAAGTCGAGTTGGGATGCTGTGAAAGTGAAATTGTTAACGCCAAAGAAAAGCAAACAACAAAACAAATGTTAACCACCAAGGTTTTACACATGCTTGTTGTTGCTCGTGCTCTTGCTGTTGTTGTTGTTGTCTCTTTTTGGCTGTGTGGCTGGCCAGTGAAGGGGCAATTTACGTTTCATTTCATTTAGTTTGGTATGTGCTCGCTCTTCAGTTTCTTTATAGCTATTAAGTAACGATTTTGTCCACATCTCGGATAGCTTTGTCAAAGGGCAATTGTCGTGTCGCTGGAACTGGGCCGAGTGTCCGAGTGTCCGAGTGCCCGAGTGAGCTGAGCGCATGCCAGCATAATTGTTAAAGATCTTTATAAAACAAAAGTAATAAACTTTATGGCCATCAAAATTGCTAACAAAAAAATAATTAAGCAGCCAATAAAACGATTTATGTAACGAAAAACAAAAAAAGGCTATCAATTGCTTTTTTCTACTAAAAAAACGAATGACTTAGGCAACAAACTTGGCTGCAATTTCACAAATGCCCGCAGCTAAGCGCCTCGGCATTATGTAAAATAGAGCAGACAATTAGTTTTCTATGCTCCAGTTTCATGTTGTTGGCGCTGTTGTTGTTGTCGCGACAGTTTGGCGACAATTAAAAAGTGATAAGGCGCCCGCAGTCTTGCAGTCAACTCTCCGCCCAGACATGCACGGCAAATGAAAGTAAATTGTTGCATGCCACCGGCGGCTGCCTGCTGCCTGCCTGCCTGCCTGCCTGCCAGGCATTCCATCCATTCACTCAGTTTTTCCAGCGCTTTGCGTGAAATTTTTCGCATATGCGTAGACAACAAAAGCAACAAGATAACGCATTTATCGCAAAATATAGGGAAAGTGAAAAGCGCGCTTGAATATACATACATACATATAGTATTCTGATATGCAGCCGCATGGTAAATGGAGCGACAAATGGGCTACAATTTGACAATCACACATACATATATATATGTACATATATGTGCATATGCATATGCATGTGTGCGCCTGTGCATACATATGAGATCTATTAGATCTATTAGATCAGTGCTGTCAGCTTTTGGTGTCCAATTAGATTTCTCCTCGTTTGTCTGATTGAAGATAGCCTCCACTGTCAGCAACGACAATAGCTGAAGCAGCAGCTCAAGGAGAAGAGGAAGAGGCAGCCACTAAACATGCCAAATGAGTTGAGCAAAGTGCCGTTAGTCAGGATCCGGCGATAAGCAGCCATTGGCCATTGGAGTGCACCCCAGCAGAAACGAGACACAATTAACATAATTTACAACTTCCCTCCCTCCCATTTCATGACATGCCATGCAATTCCATTCATTTACTTTCCATTTCGTTTAACGGTAAACCGTACAAAGGCGAAGGCAAACCAAGAGCAAAGGCCCGTTCAGCGGACATGGACATAGACATGCATTTGCCGACTTGGTCACTTGGAACTTGGCAAATGTGCTGAAAACCAGTTTCATTGGCTTCCCTGCCTTCCACCGCCCCCCACACTCGCCCGATCCGACTGCAGTTGTTGCCGCTGCCGCTGCCGCTGCTGCTGCTGTCGTTGCAATGAAAGTAAAAACTCAAGGGCTTGCACTTTCCGGCTGCAGTTCGCAGTGAAAGAGCCGAAAGTCAGGCACAAAAGAGAGTCGACAACAAAGAAAACAAAGGAGGGAGATGAGCGCGAGAAAGAGATGGCGAATGTAGCTGGCATATCCTCGACGTGGCTTCGCAACGCATCGTTAGCTGCGGCTGCAGCTTGCACTGGGACGCCGACTGCGACTGAGACGTCAACGGCGACTGGGGGCCGGTTGCATTTTGCTCTGAAATAATTAGTGACCCAATTTCGAGCTGCCGACGTCGGCGTCGGCGTCGGCGTGTTCCGCTTGCCTGCCCCGGCCAGCCACAAGACGCATGCAATTTGCTTGGCTTGACTTGGGTTGCAGTTGTTGTTGTTGCTGCTGCTGTTGCTGGTGTTGGCGTAGTTTGTGGCATGCATGCAAAGAAAGTGGTTTTCATTTCTTTACAATTGCTGTCAGCGGGCTGCCTCACTTGCCACAGTTGCAGCGAGGGGCACTCATGCAGTTCACTCCCGCTGCCTCAGCCCATTTGAATAGCATTCAAATCAAATGAAAATGTGATTATGCTTAATCAAGCCGACAATTGAATTGAAAGCCGAAGTTCAAATGAGTTTTTGTGGTGTTAAAGATTTCGATTTGCATTTCGATTTGCATTTGGATTCAATGTGAGAGTGAGGCAGGGAGTTGCTTTAGTTTAACTGCTAATCATAGTCTGCTTAGTCTACTTTATCTGCTTAGTCTAATCGCACTTGTAGACGAGTTTCTAACTGCTTTACGGCACTCGCATTTTAAGAGAGAGGAGAAAATCCCAGACTCCGCTCGAAAATAGCTGCGTAATTGTTGTTATTGTTGTTGTTGTTGTTGTTGTGGGTAAGACATGCCTGCGCATTCTAAACATTTGCTTTTAACGTCAATGGAGGCTCATAAAGCCGCCATGTTGCAGCTGCAGCGCGCCAACAACAACAACAGCAATTGTTGCCAAAGTCTGAGCAATGAAAGTTTTTTGTTGTTGTTCACGCTGACTTGGAAAAACTGCGTGAAAATTGTACAGGCGGCAAAAACAATTGCCGTTAATTTAAAATTGTCGCCAAGGCAAGCAGCAGCAGCAGGCAGCAGCAACAGGCAGCAGCAGCAACTGCAGTCAGTAAACCAGTAATTATATCGTTGCAAGTGGCGCAGCTTCTTTCACCTGCGTGTGCATGTATGTATGTGTGTGTGTGTGTCTGTCTGTCTGTGGAATCAATTAAAAGTATTGCCAGTGCTATGTTTGGGCAAATGACAAGTGCCAGCAACAGCAACAGCAACGGCAGCAGCAGCCGCATCAGCACGTCTGGCTGACGTTCCACGCTGCGTATGCGCAACCCACTTGGCAGGCGGCTAGGCAGGCAGCCAGGTAAGTGCAGGCACAATACAAGCACGCGTGCCTGACTGCTGTAGCAAAACAGTTGCAGCTACGAAAGTATCTACGAATTGCCAACGTCTGTGTGCGTGTGTGTCTGTGTCTGTGTGTGTGTCTGTCTGTGTGTGCAAAGCGAAATTGTTTTCATGTGCGCCAAAGTGGAGCAGTTTTTGAACAAAGCAATTCGCTAGCTTAATCAAACACACACACACACACACACACACACTCTTGGACACATGTGTGGAAAACTGCAATTGTAGCTCCAGCATAAGCCACCAACAACTAGCTGCAGCAGCAGCAGCAGCGGCGGCAGCGGCAGCGCCAAATGAGAAGCGGCACAAGTCAATTTCAGACTTTCATTCGCGCGAAACGCGATGAAAATTTCACCAGTAAACGCGACGAGAACTTTTCGCAGCCAGTTCCCGTGCCAGTTCCAGTTCCAAATCCAGTGCCACTGTCAGTTCCAGTTCCATTAAAGAAACGCGTCTGCTCTGGCCTAAGCGGGTGGCTGCCAAATTGCCTAGATTTATGCAAATTCAGCTAATGAACAAAAAAAGAGTCTGAAATGCCGCTGCTTCACGGCTCAGCAGTGACTCTTAGGCTGTAGGTGTGCGTGTGTGTGTGTGTGTGTGTGTGGCAAGTACGGCTCTTTTGTTATTAATAATTTCCGCGTATTGCACGCCAAGGCAACTCGACGAAAGTTTTATCGTCTGCTTTCTTTTGCTCTCTCAATAATAGGCAAATCTACAAACACACACGCACACACACACACATATGTATGTAGCTGTGACTAACCAAAAAAATAACACTTTGCTTTTCTTTCCCAAATGTTGCAACGCTTTTGTGCGCAAATGGAGCTGCGGTTTTATTATTATTTTTATTTTTATTATAATTATTTTTTATAGAGAAGCTCGTTTGCCAACTTGACTCGGATGCGTTGCACACATAGAACTCGTTGCAAGGCAGCAAGTATTTGCGGCACCTATCGAAAGTAGCTGTAAATTGTGCTTGCAACTATTCGAAATCGGTTTACTTTAGCCACGGAGCAGCCGAACTGACAAAACTTCATTTTCATAATTAGCTGCGACTGTGGACCGTATAGCCTATATTGCCTCAAGAAATTGTGAAGAAATCGGGTGAATAATGGAAGAGTACATTTGAGACAGTTAAATGATACTGCTTTGGGAAATAGTAGGTAAGAATATTATTCCTTTATCCTTTATAATGATGATTTCTCTATTACGGCTGTGCCTTGGCCATTTAGAGACCCTAGACATTTTTTACAATCTATATAATAATAATCGTAAATAATTACAATATCCCTATGATAATACTAAGCATTACTGTTTTGGTAGGCATTTCAATTCAATACTCTGCAGCACTTATAGAATTTAATATACAATATTAGATCCAATCCAATTATTAGAAAAATTCGTTATTTTCCTCTATTTATTTAATTATAATTATAAATGTTATCAAGAGCTTCTCAAAGTTATTTGTGGTAATTTCAAGTCTATAAATAAAGTTCTTTATATCATTTCGCCAATTAGACGAAATTCTTTTCTCTGTCATTTGTCTTACCTTCGATTAGTGTTAATCCCTAGCGGTGTTTCGTATTTGTAATCCCTTTTTAGCGAGCCGGTTGCTTGCGCTTGACAGAGATAGAGAGATGAGGGATAGACAGAGATAGTGAATGGCACTGCGGCTGCCGTCGAGCGTTGATCACGTTTGCCTTTGGCTATATGGCTGGAGTCTGAGCCAGCTTCCACAACTGTATTCAATATCTGTTCAGATTTCGCACAATATATATATCAGGAGCAAATCGAGTTGCTCGTCTGTTTTTTCTATTTCTATTTTATTCTGATAACACTTTCAATGTATTCGCACACAGAGAGTAGGAAAGAGAGATCGAGAGTCGATAACGCGAGCGCGGCTCGAACGCGAATGTAGCTCAAGTGGAGTGAGTGTTCAGGACGAGGTGAGTGATCGGTACTCGATATATCGGTATCGGTATCGGTATCGATATATGTATGCACTGCAGCAGCGTCGCACCTCTGGCTCAGAGACACTGACTCGTCGCACACAACGTTGAAATGAAAATGCGGCTGGGCCGTATCGCTAACCAAGATTTTATATCGCGTGAAAGTTTTGACCCCTTTCTCTTTTGCAGCTCGCTAGCTCGCTCGGCAGCCGCTTCGCTCCAGCGCAGTCGCAGCCGACGCCAAGAGCGCTGAGAGCTGAGAGCCGAGAGCACGTGAGAGCGAAAGAGCGCGCGAGCAGTGCGAATGTGGGAGAGTGTTTCTCTAGTCAAATGCAAAATATGCCGTTGTCAGCCATTCGGTTTTTCGGCAACTCGCTTGCTCTGATGGCGCCCCGACCAAAGCCGAGTGCGAGCCTCGTGTCCCGTGTGTCCCTCGTGCCCCTCGTGTCGAACTGCGAACCCGTTACAGCTACTTTTCATTTCAGTCCGCTTTCTGCGAGCTTTTGTTTTTGGCAGCTTCGTCTTCGCTGCCGTCGTCGCCGTCGTCGTCGTCGTCGTCATGTCAAGGTAACGGATGACGTCGAGTGCGTCGCCGCGATTGCCTAATTCCCATTGTTATTCATAAAGGGATGCGGCTGATTCATTTGCCATTTGTCCAAGTCTTTTGCTTGTTATTCTGGCCAATGCATTGGAAAATTAAATTATGGCCACGTTATGCAATCACTAATGATATAATGTGCCCAACTAACTTCAGCTAACTGTTTGGGGCGACAGTTTTTGGTCTTTTTAATGGGCTGAGTAAATCATCATTAGGCGTTGACCTTTGTTGCAGCCTAGCGGAAATAATTAAATGACTTCATTTGTTTTCAATTATCGAATGCATTGTTTCATCTGGGAGACATAAAGTGAAAATTGGACTCTATTAAAAGACTTATTAAGTCTCAAGTCTTGAACTAGTAATTATCAAATTGAGATTTAGATGATAAATAGTTAATATCTAATTCGGATTTGATCTTTTTATGGTCGTTATATATTCTTCATATCTGCTTCTCCTTCTCCTTCAGTTCCATAGCACAACCCGCTATCAATCCATTGTCATTCACATTAGTGTTTAGACAAAAACACATCATAAATAAGTAAACAAAGTAACTGCGAAAGCAAGTTTGTGTCCAGAGTCTTTTGTTTATACCATGCATTTTTAGTATGCAAGAAATTATTTAATTAAATTGTAAAAGTGGTCGAAATATATAATAAAAATGCAAATTGATCCAATTTCTAAGAAACATTGAAAGTTTGTGAACAGCTAGCTATTCAGGTTATTTATTGTCGGCAAGTGTGATAAATTGTCAACAATTGGAATCGGATATTGTTATGAAGCTAAACGGATGCCACATCTCTTGTATGTTTAACATATTTATTGGAATGTTACACGGCAACAACAGCAACAGCGAAATTACCAACAGCCAACAATCTTACACAATCTTTAAATGATGCTAAAAATTCGTTAAGCACTCGAATTATTTCGAAAATCAGCTCAATTTCGAATGATGAAATTGCAGAAATTACCAAAAACGGAACGGAAACAAAATGTGCCACAAATTTGGCGAAATATACATAAATGCTGAAGACATACACACACACACATATATATATATTTTTTTATATGTTTATCTCTTTGGCTGGTTAAAAATAACTTTTGTAGATTGTGCTTTGAACTTTCATTTATGCGTGGCTCGCTTGCGGATTTGCTGTGAGCCAATTCAAGCGCCTTTCCTGGCCTGGCCGAGCCGTGGCTGCCCAAGCGATGACAACATTTGAGAAGGCAAAGCCACAGAAGAAACCATGGGACACACCCGGCCAATCGAAAGAAATCGAAAGTTCCGGCTTGGTTACCATTTCATTGAAGGCATATGGGCTCATGGCTTGTTGATATAGTAACTGCTGCTGTTGTTGTTGTTGTAATTGTTGCTGTTGCTGTTGCTGCTTGGCAGTTGTCGCACGCCAGATCCGTAGTAGTGAGTCACATGTCGCGAGTTTGATGACGCTCGTCCCGCTGCTGGCAGCGCGCCTACCTCTACCTGCGCATTATTTGTTGAGCTAGTCTCAGCTTTTGTGCTCATCATCAAAACATTGAAAACGGAATTGCCAACGAAATTGGGTCAGGGACGTGCTCAGCATGCTAATCAAATTATGCTTGCAAAGCAGCAGTACGCATATGACGCACACAGCTTAATTCGAAATTGGGAAATGCGGGCACTTTTCTAGAGGGTGCCTGAAGGTTACCCAAAACTCAAATTCTGCAGGCAGGCAAAGTGCGTAATGTGTGGTGGTAATTGAGGAAGGGAACTTAACTTGAACAAGCGAACAATGAGGATTAGGGCTCAAGTGTACGGGTTAATCTTAGCTTTACTTGTTAGATGTGATATTGTTGTTGACTAAAATATGCTCTGGATAGCAGTTTTCATTTGAGGGATATATGCCAGACAGACACTTATCAAAATAAATATCTTGTTTATAGGCTTCATTTATTTATATTCGTAATTTGAGCGCCACTTTTCCCAAACTTAATCGATACCTGACTAGCCAATCGACAAGTAGATAAAAAGTAAAACTTACTAATAATAAAATAATAATATATCGTATTGCATATGGTAGTACCCATAAAACCCAAAGTTTTCAACTTCGTCTTGTATACATATATGCACTAGAAAACTTGATATCTCTTTGATCTCCATCCAATGAACGCTTAATCACTACAATATGATCTTCAGTCACTGTCTGCAGCATCTTTTGATAAATGATCAACGAATCGAAGCCCATTTTTCACACATTATTTTCATTCGGGGAAAATCGCTGCCAAACAGCCGCAGCAACAACAACAACAACAACTGCAGCAGCAGCGCAGCATCAGAAATTTGTATCTCTCCTCAGATACGCTCAGTTTCGGTTTCAGTTTCATTTTCAGTTTCAGTTTTTGTTGTTGTTTCATTTTCGAACAAAAAACAAGTTATATGACAACGTTTTGCACAATTTGCTTGGCTTTTCTTTGTGGCCCGATGGCTGTATAACGGTGCCTGGCTCTTAAGCGCTTATTGTTCATTAAACAACAGCACTTAAAATATAATGTGACCGATCCCCAAGGCAGGGCCAACTCGGCCAACACGGGAGCACACGCTGCCAACTCGGCCAATCATTATGCAAGTCCAATCCGAACTTCGGTCAACGCCATCGCTGGCACCAATGCTGGCTGCTGGCTCTGGCTGCTGGCTGCTGGCTCTGGCTGCTGGCTGCTGGGTCGTTTTACTCTCAGCTTCACTTTCCATTTCTTTTGTCCGCTGCAATAAACACATATATACATATATATTTCATTTTTTTGCTGTTGTCGGCCCTTAATTGCAGTCTATCGCATATGAGAGTCAAAGTCATGTGATTATGCAGCCATATGCACAATGAACCTTGAAGCAAGGCTGTTAGACCTCTATGGACTGAGACGGAGCAACTCGAGCAGTGGATAGTAATTAATAAAAAGAAATTATAATTAGAGCTATATTTGATATAGCTAAAGGAGAGTATCGAATGGAGTATCGTATAAATATTTAGTAACCTTCTGAAAGACTTTATGATTCATTAATGATTCATTATCTGATTCATAAATCTGTTTCAATTTTCTAATATATATATAGCCTTTTTAGTCTGATGATTTCCACACCTTTGCTGCTTTCTGCATCTGTTCAGCTTTTCGGTGTTGCCTTAGTTGCTTTAATCGATTTCTCGGACTCTAGTTTTTGTTTTTTCCCGCTTTTGGCTGTTGTGCCCTTTTTTTGCAAATTTTTTTTGTCTATTGCTGCATAAAAATGCGGCTTAATTATTGCCTTATGCATATGAAGGGGTGTGTATATATTAAATATGTGCATATGTGTGTGTGGTCGTTGCCTGCGCCTGAGTCATGCGCCATATATCACTTTCACTTGCCATAGCAAAAATGACAACAGCAACGGGCAAAAATCTCAATCAGGCAAGCAACCGAAAAAGCGAGGCAACCAAACCCTGCCTTGTCCTGTCTTCCCTCTCTCTCTCTGCTTGGGTCCCCTCTCTTCCCATTCCTCATTCTCACTAAACCGCTCTCTCTCTCTCTCACTCTCTCTCCTTTCCTACTGCCAAAGTCCAATTCCGTGTTTAACTTTATCCTCCCTCTCTTTGTTTACCTCTGCCCCTCCTCCACAATCTCTCTCTCTATCTCTGTCTGACGTCAACGCTGCTCTCTGCTCGCAGGAACTGGCCCTGGGGCCATTTGCATTTCATTGTGAAATATCCGCTTGCAGTCGACACTCCATAAAATGCCTTTGAACAACGCCTTGCAACTCTTTGTGGCAGCTGCACACACACACACACAAAGACACAACAAGCTGAGTTGTTGCAAGATCATCGAGTTGCATAAGCACTTAACTGTTGTTGCCAAAAAGAAAATAAAAAAGTCGAATGAGTAGCAGAAGAAAAGAAAACATAATAGTTTTCTAAAGCCTTAAGAAATCACGCTTTGTTTGCCTTTGCAATGATTTCCAATTGGAGCTCGAAGTCACATTCGAAGTTCGAAGACAAATAGCCAATAAGTATTTATCTAACTCATTTCGAAAGACGGTTTATTTTGGCCTTCGTTTTGTGTGCTGTATCGTCGTATATCTTTTGGTTTAGTCACAAGATTTTCACTTTCATTCGCTGACCAAATAGCCAAAGATATTGACAGATATCCGATGCATATGTATATACATATATATGTGTGTGTGTGTATGCAAATTAAATGAACAACCGTAAGCAAAATCTTTTGCTACAGATATGAGAGAAAGATGGCCAATACGAGCAGCAGTTTCAGCCAAGAGGCAACCGCTAAAAGCCAACTATCAACTACCAGCATACGCAGTTAACAGTTAAAAACTTTTTTAATTTCTTCTCGTTGTTTTTTTTTTTCTTTTTTGGCAAATGAAAGAGAAATTGTTCGCCCGGCCGACGAGAAAAATAAATACAGATTTTATATGCTAATTGGTGCGCACACTTCGGACCAAGACTGTAGCTCTGAAGTGATATGAGATGATAGATGAGTTTTGTGCGCTGTTGGGGGAGTTTGCAACTGTTAGTGCTTATCAACGATAAAAACGGTATATGATATACTAAAAGAAAGATATCAAGTCTTAATGAGCTATTAAAACGCTCAAGCTGAATATGCGCGCTATGCATAAAAAGTAACTTTAAATTATTTTATAACATCTAATGAACATCAAAAGCACGAGTAACTGAAAGTCTTTTTTTTATAGTTTTACTATATTTAGATATATTTATGATATATTTTTTAAATTATAATTTTGAATTTGATTCAGTTGTGTGAATTCATATTATAATAGAGAAGAGCATTTGTTATCCAGCTAACTGTAACTTGCTTTGATTTGGCATAAACTAAGCTTTATTTATAGAAATCATTATGAATTTATTTTCTAGAAAATAAACAATTCAGCAATATGCATAAATACGGCAAACAAAATTCGCTTTCTATGAACGGGCCTTTTGTGTAGGACTCTGTGGTAAAAATGTTGCGCAACCAAATCGAAGCATTTGGCGAAGCATTAATCAATATTATGTGGCACAGAATGGTGCTCACAAAGTGAAAAGCTGAAATGCTGAACTGCCGTATGGAATTTGACACCTAAGCAAAATAAGAAAGAAAGAAAAAAAAACAACGATTTGGTTGCGGTTAGTGGCTTTTGCTTTCGTTAAAAATTAAATATTAGACACGACGTGGCTCGGGCTGCAGGTTTAATTAAATTTGTACGCCGTTTATGCCTAAAATGGATAAATATTGGGTTTACTGAATGCCATTAGGGCAGCGTACCGGGGTTACTTAATGACCCAAACAACAATTTTTAGCTGTAAACTGTGAAAGAGAAATGGGAAAAAAGAGATGCGGAGAAAGCAACGCAAGACAAAATCAAACCAACTGCAACAATTCGCTAAATTTACAACAGCAGCAGCCAACAGAACAGGTGAAATATTTACAGGTGAGTCTCTGTCAGTGTCTGTGTTGTGCCTGTGTGTGTGCTTTGGCTGATATGCAAATACAATTTGATTATCTTCGTGATTATTTTCGATTGTGTTGCTCGGCCCCATGTAGTTAGTTGTTAATTGACGAAATGAAATTTGACTTGTAATTATTCGCGGTATTCGGGCTTATTGTGTACGCATTTCACTAAATGTTAATTAAAAATTGTGGCGAATTTTGAATCATTGATTGAAACCATTTGTATTAAACGGTTTTCTAACCGGTTTCATTGAACGGTTTTCCAACGTCTATTCCGAATTATTACTAGTTTATTTACGAACCATAAGCAAAAATAGTACAAGAGATTGATTTTCAGCAGAAAATGAAATATGCGTTGGCAGCTGGCTAATATGGTTTTATTTAATATTCTGATATGCAATTATATTATTAAAGTTTTAAAATATGTATGACTACATGAACGGATCCTTAACCGATAATCAATGAGAATTCGGTAAGTTTCGTATCTTAGCAAAGACACAACCCTAAACCAGTAACAATAATGAGCCTTGCTAAACATACTGATCCCATAAATCAGTGCTGCCACTCCGCTGTATTTTTGAATGGCGCTGCCAGACTCAAATGAAACAGCTGTTGCATTTCGCGCCAAATTGAGCTGCACTGCGCTTAACTGTGTGCGTGTTCAACTGCGTTTTATTTGTGTTTTAATTTCTTTTGAGAAGAAGAGAAATAAACTGACCTGAAATATGAGTACAACAGTTGCAGAAACTGCAACTGCAGCAGAAAATGCTGACAAAACAGACGATTCAATGGAAAAACTGCAAATTGACGAGGAAGACGAAAAGAATGTGTCTCTCGAAGATATTTTAGGTGGAGAAGCTCTGCAAATGTCGGACAGCGAAGATGATGAGACTTCTGCACCAGCAACTAAACAGGTATCCCCGAGAAATATTGCTCAACGGCTACAGGACAGTGATGAAGAGCGGGATGCGAACAATGCAAACGAAGAGATGGAGAAGAATGCAGCACCGAAGCATAGAAAGAAAATCGCGATTATTGATTCAGAAAGTGAAGAGGAACAAGAGGAGGGCACGAAGGCATCTAGAGCAATAACAACCCCGGAAGATACCGATGAGAAAGAAGAAGAGGATTTAATAAAAACAAAACAAAAGTCGAGGAAAAAGATATCAGCAATAGTTGACTCTGACAGCGAAGAAGATCAAGTTGCCAAAGGCAAGGATTCTGGGGCAACAGCAAGAACGGAAGAAAAGAAAAACAACGATGGGGAAGAAGGCGAAGAACTAAGGTCAGAGGCTAAACCTAAGAAGAAGATAAGTGCCATTATTGACACAGACAGCGAAGAGGAGCAGCAGGAGAAGGAGGAGAAGAACGAACATAGCAAGCAAAATAAAAAGAACAAAAAGACAGAGAAAAAAAGGAAACAGCGACTGGCAAGCGGCGATGAGATGAGTGCCCAGTCGAGCGATGACAACCAAAGTGAGAATGAAACAAGAAATAAGCTTAAAGGCATTGTTGATTCAGACTCCGAATCGGAGCGCAGTAATAATGAGGAACCAATGGAACAAGAGGACGCAAGTGAAACGTCTGCAAACAAACAACACAAAACCAAGCCGATGCGGGTAATTAAACAAACTATTATGCAAGCAAGCAAGTATTCAATATTTCACTTCATTGCAGGCCTCAGCTAAGAAAGCATTAGATGGAATGCAGGCCATACAAAGTGAGCAACAAAGGCTGCACCGAGAAGCGCATATAAGTGTGCCCTACCATCAACCCAAGCCACGCACGCTGAAAGAGTTTCTTAGCAGGCGCACCATCAACAAACCACTTGCAGTGGCGTTGGCCGGCGGAAGTCCCATGCCAAGCAAGGAACCCAGGAGATCATTAACGCTGCGCATGAACGACGAGGAACTGCAAGCATATGCGTAAGTTGAATTCACAAAGTCTGGTATATAAAATCTAAATGAAATTACTTGTTTACAGCAAACTAATGGAGGAACGCGCCAAGGAGGCTACCGAGTTCTTTAAATCCGAATCGGAGCACGAAGATGATGATCAAGAAGATGGAGGCAAGGATAAAGACAAAGATGCAGATGTAGATGAGCCAATGGACATAATTGATAAAACAGATCAAATCGATATTGAGATAGGTGGCCAACTGGAGGAGAAGGTAGTTGATGTGGAAGATCATTTATCTCTTCCAGAAATTGAGCCAATAGTTGAGAATATTACAGCAGCCTCTGAGGCTGAAACACTAGAAGATAACGGAGGTATGCCTGAAATCAGTTCACCTACTAAAACAAGACTGGTAACTGAGATTGTGGAGTTGCCCAAGTTGGACTTAAGCAATTTGGATATTACGCCTCCTTCGAAGCCCTCTACGCCACGTATAAGTGAAGCCATCCGACGACTAAAAAATGAGAAAAGCAGCGATATTAGCCCTTCCTTAAAGGGCGATGCCAACATGGTCATTGATCTGGAAACGGGCGACATGTTTGCCAAGAAGCCAACGGGAGTTGATGATTTGCTGGAGCGTCTAATGAAAACGCGGGAGGCCAAGAAGCACAAGACTACGGAAACAGTTAAGTGAGTAAAGAAACAGCTTAATCAGCTTCTATGTTTAAAATTAATATCTTTATGCAGCATTTTATCCGCTGCACATGGTAAGCTGGAGTTATCAAAGGTGAGCATACATCTGCATGAAGAGGAGCCAGTCAACAAGGAGCAGAAGCCTGGCGCTGCGTACCTTAAGATGCAGGATCATCTCAAGACATTAATAACAAATAAACGAATGGAAGAACTACGCAAGAAGCAAGCTGAGGAAATGGAAAATTCAAATGATGAAGCTAATGAGGATGAGGACATGGATGTAGAGGAGGCTGAAGAATATGAGCCAGATGCAAAGCCTAACAAAAAAGAACTGATAATTAATGATGATGAGGAAATTGTTGAGGCAGATAATGCAGAAGAGATTGAAGAAGGAGAGGACGAAGATGTGGAAGTTGACGCTGATGAATCAGAAGCAGAAGCAGACTTGGAAGCAGAGTCGGGAACAGAGGCAGCAGAGCAAGAAACTACCAGCAGCGAGAGCGAACCAGAAGAAGACACACAAACGAGCAAGCGTAAAAATCGTATTATACGGGCATTCGAGGACGACAACTCCGATGAAGATGATGTGGATTTGCTGCAGACGCCCAAACCAAGCAAGGTGGCGCCTGTGACTGCCGACGAACTACAATTATCTGCCCACAAGCTGTTCGACACGGAAATTCAGCGTTCGGCTAGCGATGAAGAGAACGAACTACTCGGGCTGTGCTCAGGAAGATTCACGCAATCGGAAATCTCATCGGCAGCACCGACGGTCGGAGCACTCATTAGTCAAATTCCCATAACACAAACAACAGGAAACACACAACCCGAGGAATTGGAGGCGCTATGCTCAGGCACTTTTGATACTCAGCCGGCACCTGAGAGCAATAAAATACTCTCCAGTGAAGAAGAGGCAAAGGAACCATTGGAAACTGATAAGCCGCGGCAGAAAAAACTGACCAAGAAGAGGCAAAAGAAGAAAGCAAAATTGGGATTCTCCGACGATGAAGAAAGCGATGATGATTCAGATAATAATGTGGAAGAGGAAGAGGATCAGGAAGAGTGCGAGATAGAAGAGCCAGAAGAAGTTCCGGAGACATTCGTCGACTATGACTCCGAAGAAAATGAAATCGTAGTCGAAATGACAAAGAAAGATCGGAAATTGCGCGCATCGAACTTTGTGGAGAATGAAGCTGAATTATCTGAGTCAGAATGGGGCTCTGCTGATGAAGATGAAAAGAATATGGACTGTTATGACATAGAGCTTGGTGACGAAGATCAGTTTGATAGGGAGAAACTCCGCAACGAACTGGGACAGATTCACGCGTAAGTAAATAATGGGTATATTTAGAAATTCACTTTAAGATTTGTCCTCCATTTCCCTCAGACGCAAAATGCTTGATCAGGACATACGAGAGGTGCGCAAGATAAAGGAGATGCTCTTTGAGGATGAGGAGGGTGCAGTGCGACAGCGGCAGTTTCGTTGGAAGAATGCAGATAACGGTCTGGGCTTTAGCTTAGATGATCCCCGCAACCAGAACGGCGATGCTGAAGCCAACGAGGGCAGCGGCGATGAAGAAAACGAGCATTTGTGGCGCAAGATTCGCTACGAGAGAGAGCAGCTTTTACTTGAGAAGGGACTGAAAGAGGTAGTTAACTGAATTGCTGAGTGCAATAGAATCACATGATTAATCCAATTATAATAATAGGCAACACTAGGCAGCGGGTCACCTCTCTCACCGGCTGTGACTAACAGCAACACAACTATACGAAAGCTAACCATAATCACAGCTAAGAAAACCACAGTAGAGGTAAAAAAGAGTTCACCATTCCTGATCTCAAAGACCTCCCAGCAGCAGCAACAGCAGCGAGCGGTGCGTGGTTCATTTCTGGTGCGAGACAAGGAGACACTCAGCAAGCTAGCTGGTTTGACCAAAGGCTCAGTTGGTGATCTGGATGGAACAGCAGGCACTGTTTCCGTCAAGTCAGCCAAAGCTAAAAACTTTGTGTTTGCCACGCTAACTGAGGAGGAGCATGAGGTTGGTGACAGACATCGCGACTCCCAACTATTCCCAATTCCCAATTTCCTTATTTAATTGCAGAATCAAAAGCGAAAGGCGGCCGATTTGCTAAACAGCAGCAGTGAGACTGGCATTAATTTTATGAAAAAGCCAAGACTGGAGCCTCGCCGGGAGAAGTGCCTTATCGATCAGCTGCTTTAAGTTTTAGTTAGCATTTAATTAGCTCTAGTTATCAAAAAATTCAAATTAAAGAAAACATATTTTTAAATATTGAGTGCTGACCGCCCTTTTCCGATTTGCAACACTGATTCACTGCAGCACAACCCCTGCAGTAGCTTTTCAACACTTCACAGCTCTCCCAGAAAAATAAAAAAAAAATAAATACAATAAAAAACAGCAAAATATTGTGGCAAACGCTCGCGTTTGTTTAATGCAAGTATTGTCCATAATATTGAATGGAGTGTAAATACAATTAACGAAGAACGAAACGAATGACAAATCAATGCGCTGGAGCCGCGTTAATCTAATCTGGCTTCTAGCGTTTATGAAGTCGTTTTGAATATACTTTTAGACCGGCGAACGAGACAGTGAAATCAATCAGTCAGTCGGCAGCTGTCCGGAGACGCCGTTGAATGTGCACTAATTAGAGCATTAATTAATAAAAAAGCAAAAGTCAGTCTACAACAACAATATGGTGGCCCAATCGAAAATAAGCCAGGTGTTCAGCTATCAGAACTGGGTGCATGCCGTCTCGGGCGCAGCCGTAAGTGATTTCCCCTAAAATGAATGGGACGAAAGTTCAACTTTTTGAATGTTCAATATCCAAATATATTATTTACACAGGGCGGCTGCATAGCAATGAGCACCTTTTACCCACTGGACACCGTGCGCTCGCGCCTGCAATGTAAGTGCTCGACTAATCTGAAGTTTCGATAGATAAGCAAATTGTATATGGGTAGATAAAGATTGGACGATTGGACTCGAGGGAATACACTTTAATTTGATATATATAGTTTGATAGTGCACACTAATCCATCGATTGGTTTCTCTACTCTTCATATCTATTTTCAGTGGAGGAGAGCGGCGAAGTGCGCAGCACAAAACGTGTTATCAAAGAGATAGTCTTGAATGAGGGATTCTACTCGCTCTATCGTGGACTTGGTCCAGTTCTACAAAGCTTGTGCATTTCAAATTTTGTCTATTTTTACACATTCCATGCCCTCAAGCTGGTCACCTCTAATGGGGCGCGTGGACAGCAGAGCGCCTTGAAGGACCTCTTGCTGGGAAGCATTGCGGGCATCATAAATGTGTTCACAACGACTCCGTTCTGGGTGGTGAATACGCGTTTGCGCATGCGCAATGTGGCCGGCACTTCTGACGAGGTGAACAAGCACTATACAAATCTGCTGCAAGGCCTAAAATACGTGGCCAAAACGGAGGGACTGTCCGGTCTGTGGTCAGGCACCATACCCTCCCTCATGCTAGTCTCCAATCCCGCGCTACAATTCATGATGTACGAGCTGCTCAAACGGAACCTGCAGATATTCACGGGCGGCGAAATGGGCAGCCTGAGCTATTTTGTGATTGGCGCCATTGCCAAGGCATTTGCCACCGTGCTCACCTACCCACTGCAGTTGGTGCAGACCAAGCAACGTCATCGTACCAACGATACGACCAATACCCCCTCCACATCCGAGCAGGCAGGCAAGCAGCAAAAGACGCCATCGATGCTGGAGCTTATGGTCAGCATACTGCAGCATCAAGGCATTGGCGGTCTCTTCCGTGGTCTGGAAGCGAAGATTCTGCAAACGGTGCTAACAGCGGCGCTGATGTTTATGGCCTATGAGAAGATAGCTGGAATAGTTAAGCTGCTGTTAAAACGATCCGCCTAAGAACCTTCTAGTCTCTGCGTAATTTAACTACAAATACTTTAAATGTAAGCTAAGTGGACACGATGGGATAAGGAAAGCACACATGTACACTCCAAAGTTAGCCGATAAGGGTGAATGTTTATGTGACTAAAATACATAAACTGCGTTTAACGAAATTAATAGTAAATTTTATTAGTTCTCAAAAGCGGCCACTGTATTTTCAATGGATTTCGCAGCAGTACTCTCCGTTTCCTGCTCAGCAGTTTCAGTTGCCTTGGAATCGTCGACGTCATTTGTAATCTGCCCATTAACATTTGCCAGCTCGGCTAAATTATATTTCTTAAATTCTAAATAGTTGTCCACGACGCTCAACAGGCACCAGCCTCTCAGCACCTCGACAATGATTGACTTTTTGGCATTGTGCAAATCAACTTTGTTCGCTACGTTCTTTGAGTTAACCAGGTCGGCTAATTCCTTGATTATGGTATCTCGTTTAATTTGCTGATTGTAGCGATGATTGAATATGATGCCATATGTGGTTGCCTCCTTGATAAAGTGCTTGTCGAAGAGAGCTCCAGCTGCATTGATAATATCTGGCATATTGGCGCGACAGACGGACTCGATAGGCACCAGACGCAGCACAAAGCGGGACATGGCTTTACCGGTGTCCTTGATGTCGTTGACTATGTGCTTGCCAAGTGCCACTGGGTCATCCAGCTGAGTGCGTATAAATAAACAGTTCGTAGTGCCTGTGTCCACGTTTTGAAAGCGCTGTTTCCTTTGTGCAATCACCTCGCGGCATTTGGCCACAGCTGCATCCAAATCGTCACTATCGGACTCTCCTCCTGCTTCAGTGTTGGCCGCTTGTTTGCTTTCATCTGATTCTCCTTCCGGGCCGTACAATTCGTCGGCATAATGGTTAAGCAAATTGTAGCACTCACGTACACATGCCTTTTCGTTCATGTTGCAAGTGACAAGAAATCCACGTTGTCCTGGCTGTAACACTTGTTTCTTGCTTTGCTGGAAATACTTCTTTTTGCCATGCTTGAATTTATTATTAACCATTTTCGATTTCTTTATGGCCGGCTCCATGTCACGTTCAACGAATATCTGTAGACGGCGCGCAGTGCTACCATATTTACAATATTCCAACACTAGCTATAAAAATACCATCTTAATACTGCAAAGTGCAGTATTTATTGTACAGCACTAAGCGTTCAGCTGTTTTCAAGCGTGTACCGGCTTAATTTGTTTTATCAGGCAATGGTCGATTCAATAGAAAAGATTTTTAGATTACTTCCTCGCTTTGAGGATATAGAAGAGCTGCTGCAAAATGAAGCTGAGGCGAGATACATACTGAAGCGAGCATCAAATTACTTTGAAAAGTCTTATTTAAATGGAGAAGAGGAGGAAATTTCGTATTTGGTACGGGCACTAGTGGACAAAACCTGGGAACGCATTCATAGTGGACATTTTAGTAGCGTGCCGGTAACCATAAGGAAAATATATGCACTCGGTTGCTACTTTAAGGTGATTTAGCTTATACTACAAGTCAATGAGGTATAACGCTCTTTTTTAAGTAGATTTTCTTTCTGCTATTGGAAGACACAAGCTTGGAGCAGATCGAACTATGTGGCGCTGTTTTGGACGAGGCTCAACTGCTGGGCTGCACAGATAAGCTGTATGAAAAAGGCAATGAACTGAAGGATGCGCTGATGATGTACTTGGACAAGGATGCTATAAAATTTACTAGGGACCCGCTGCCCATCTTAGCACCAGTCGAACGATGCATAGCTAATTGTGATATACCCCAACTGGATGCACCTAGCATCACAGAGTTTCGCACGAAATGCTATGAGAAAATGCAGCCAACGCTGCTGCTTAACACAATCAATCATTGGCCAGCGTTGACTAAATGGCGCGATTTGAATTACCTACTGAAAGTAGCTGGCAATCGCACCGTACCAATTGAAATTGGTTCCAATTACGCCAGCAATGAGTGGTCCCAACAGCTGGTTAAGCTACGTGACTTTCTCTACAGGCAGTTTAGCCAGGGCAACGGAGATCAGGAGATTGAGTATCTAGCACAGCATGAGCTGTTTGCACAGATACCAGCCCTGCAGGCGGACATCTGTGTGCCGGACTACTGCACTGTGACGGCGAGGAATGAAGCAGATGTGGATATTAAAGCCTGGCTAGGACCACGTGACACCATCTCACCGATGCACTACGATCCCAAGCATAACTTGCTCTGCCAAGTGTTTGGTAGTAAAAGTATTATATTAGCTTCTTCTGCAGACACCGAAAATCTGTACCCACACGAAAGCGAGTTCTTGAACAACACCTCCCAGATTAATGCCGCCGAACCGGACTTTGAGCGATTTCCATTATTGAAGAGGGTACAATTTTATAAGCTGTTGCTACAACCTGGCGATTGCTTATATTTACCTCCCAAGTGGTGGCATTACGTGCGCTCCGAAACAGCCAGTTTCTCCGTTAGTTTCTGGTGGGAATAGCTAATCGACTTTGCTCAAGGTGCGTCATAGATGATGTCATTATACGTGGTCTGTGGATCATGAATCACAAGTAGTTTGCTTTGTGAGTATTCATAAGATTATTTATTAGCCAATGAACCTTTGGATGCGGCAAACAAAGTATTAAGTTTACTAATGAATATAAAGATTATAAATACAGTTTGAGAACTTGAGAGATAATTGATAACATTGAAACATGTGTATTAAGAGCTAAGCTTTTATTTCGTGTTGTTTTTGTTTTTGTGTGTTTGTGTTATTTGGTTATGTTATCGATTTATAATCTTCCATAATCTTGCTGTACTTCCAGTTGATGCCTTCGCCCCCACCGCCATGTTATAAGTCTTATCATTCCTTAAATGTTTATTTAACGCTCGGCATCAAGAGCGTCTGGCTTAGTCATGCTTAATGGACGCACCTTTAGCTCCACCACCAATGGTTATTTGTTTCTGCAATTTGCTATACTCCTCGGTGAGGCGATCATATTCACGGTTCAAGCTTTCTGCTTGGGACTTGACGGCTTCTTTATCCTTCTTCTCGCGGTTCAATTCTGAGGTCAGCTCCTGAACACGTTCCTTCAGCTTGTTGAGCTGTAAAACGAGTATCATCTATGTTTGAATACTTATCCAAGGAGAGACTGAGTTTTTTGTATGTGTATGTGTGTGGACGGGGGATATTTGGGGAATGTCGTTTCGAGAACTTAGTATAATCTGGCGCTGAGTCCTTGCACACGTTTCCGCAGGCGTGACAACTGTTTAAAGAGTTTACGAAGAGTTTATACGTTCATTTTGTTTCTTAATGCTCGCCCAACACTTTCCATGCGGGTATATTAAGAAGAAATTGCCTTGAATATACAGCTGCTAGTAGCAAACGGTCAACGTGTTAGGTTGGGGTCAAAGCTCTTTAAACATGCCTGGCCTGGACGATGTACAAAAACTCCAAATGCCAACTATATCAATTTTTATAAGCTGACTTACCTCATTCAGTGTTGAGTCTTCGGTGGCTTCCTTTGCCTTGTCGGTCTTCTCTGTCAATAGAGAGCGAGCAGCGGCTGTAGCGCTCTGAGCCTGTTTCATGGAGGCTTCGCTTTGTGCAAGCAAATTGGCCTGTGCCGAAATCAGTTGGACCAGTTTCCGAATGACCAGAACAAGGAAAATGGCAAATCCCGAAATGTAAAAGTTACGCTGTGCACGGAACAATCTCATGCTGTGCTGCATTTCTACGTTAAGATGCACTTCGCCGCTGTTGTCAGTGTTGGAATACTTGCGCATTTCGCGTATAGCCTCCAGAAGAAACAGCACCAACACACCCATTATTAGGAAAAAGTAGAGATGTGCCTGTTGGGCTAACATGGCTAGAAATTTGGATTTGAAGAAACGGTTCCATTTGTATGGGCTGATTCCGGGCAACACCAACAGCAAAACCACTACGATTTCTGTATACAGAAAACCGGCGATCAAAGTCCACACCAAACTCATTTTTGCTACTTTTCCAATATGTGAAAAGCTTTAGATTTTATTTTATGTGTGCGCTTTGTGTTTTTCTCCTCTGAAACGATTTAAGAATATTACTTTTCTAATTAGTACGAAACACACACCGTGGGTTATTCTATGAAGCTATTTATAAACACATACCGTGAATTGGCTTGCTTTAAATAGCTATTGATATTAAAATACAGCTGCAAATGGTGAAATATGCTTATTTCTATGCGCTCATCGGCGGCCACGTCAACTTCGCTTTCTAGATTTTTGACAATTGTTGAAACATGTTGGCAGCCCCTAACTATGTATTTAGCTTGTAAACAAAATGCCTAGCAGCTGACTGCTGACAGCCCTGGTTGCCAGGGTAAAAAAAAAAACAAAATGTGCTTTTGCGCCATCGATCAAATTTAGTTAAAGCTTGTTTTTTTTTACAAAATGTCGTATCAACATTGGATAAATTATTTGCAGTCTGCTGAGAAAAACTCAATGATCAGCAATAAGCTGCGCAAGGTACTCTACAAGTTCCCCGACGGTCAGCAAATGGCTGAGGAGTATAATATGGATACGGGCGTAGTGCAACGACGAGCATGGCGCAAATGCAAACAGCTAATGGGTGAACCCGAATGGGAAATTGAGCTTGGCGAAGAGCCACGACAACTGAATTGGGCTGCCGCCAATAAGCAAAACACAGCTGGCGGCGGCGATGCGGACAACATATCTGGCGGAGAATTCACTGTGCGGGAGAGCAATACTGCTCCATTACTAACCAAGCGAATTACAAAGAAAAACATTGAATGGCGCATACGCAATCTACCTTACCCTCTGAATGTGTACGACATTAGAGCAGATGCCGAGCAGCGTGCAATTATCGTAAGCACAAATAATAAGAAATATTACAAAGTTATAAAAGTACCTGAACTGGATCGTTGCGGCGTACCGCCTGTCCAAGCCAATATAAGCGCTCATCATCAGTTCAATACACTCATCATAACCTACCAGAAACCCCCAATACTCTGCGAGATGGAGGCACAGGTTTTACTTCTGCTAAAGGACGTGGAGACGGAGACAGATGTGGATGATTTGTTAAAAGGATTGCTGGCTAAATAATAAAAGTCAATATGTAAAATATGCATACAAATTAAACTATTTATTTTTAATTATCACAAGCTACTTTTGATTGCTCTCGGCCATGCCGATGTAGCTGGCCAGAGAGGGAGCTGACGAGCTCGTAAACATGGTATAATCAAATGTGGGTAGCTCTAATGGAGTTAGGGAAGGCATTTCATGCTCTGAGCTGCGGTCAAGTGTGGAAAGGCTATGGAACTCCTGACTTTCTGATTGGGGATCGCTTTGGATCGTGGTCTCCACTTTAAGTTCCACTAAAGAAGGCGTCACTTTTCGTTCAATGGTCGAGGTGAACTTGGCATCAAAGTCCTGTACGGTTTTGTCGATGGCCTTGGCCACAGACTGGGCTGAACCTACTCCCTGCTCTGGCCGCAACGGTAGCATTGGACTTGTCTCCTTCAACTGCACGAAATCTTTCATCTTTGTGAGTCCATATTGTGTTTTACGCATCTCGATTTGCCGAAGCTTGCGCTGAAAGTCAAGCGTTAAGGTATCGAGCACTTCCTTCGATTTTGCCATTTGAACATTTTTGTAAGCATCTTGTATGTAGATTAGCGAAGTCTCCAGAGCCTTTATGGCGTCTTCATAACGATGGTGGCGTATAAAGCGCTCGGAGCGACGTTCGTGGAAATGCGCCTGTACGTATTGATAAGGATGAAACACAACAGTTCTTAAAAAAATTTCTTTTATTTACCAAATTTAGCGGTGCACAATCCATGTTTTCTCTTTTTGTTCTTGTTTACCTGCGCAGTACGTGAGCTGCTTGGCAACTCTGTATCACAGCTGGCCTAACGATAACTAACAGAATAAAAAGTATCTATCGAATAAAATACCAATATTTTAAAATTAACCTTTTTTATGTACAAAGTTTTAATAAGTTAAAAATTTTCTATTTAAGTACTCTATAGCGGGACAGCGTTCGCCTGTTTACCCTCAGTGAGCGCACGCGACGCATGCACAAAAACGGGCACGTTTATACCCTGAAAATAAATCAAAAATTACGAACATCGAATTTCATTAAGGTACAAATTACACTCACTTGCATTTTAGCCGATCTAACAAAAGCCTTATTTGATGTAACTGTAAATATTTTACGATCCATGCCAAAACTAAAAATCTTTAAGCTTCGCTCATTCACTTTAGCAGTAAAACGTATGTTGGAAAACTCTGGCGGTATTGTGTCGACATCCGGATACACTGTTACTCGTTTCATAAACTCTTCAGCGCGTTTACGCTCACCCGGTCCGCCCAGTACAGTGAGAATGTTTTGAAATGCATCATTGGCCAATTGGCAACATACTAAGCGTTTGTCCTTAAATATTTTGTCGAGTATTGGTTTCACCGGAGATTCGCGCTCCTTTTCAGCCTGTTCAGTTAGAAGCGGCTCTTTGAACACGTAATTACAGCCGCCATTCGAAAGAGCGCTCACATAAGCCAGCAAAGTAGTCACATCCAAGTTTAATTCATTTGACAAGGTGGCATACTGATCCAGATCCACGTCAGGCTCTTCCAAGGAGGCAGTTTGTACTCCCATTTCCTTGAGCTCATCGTGCAACGAACTGTCAATTTTATTAGAGAAATAAAAAACGATCTGAAAGAATTATTGAAAAAATAATTATTTGAAAATAAAGTGGTTGGGACCATCATCACCTTGGGACGTTGAAACATGCAGAAGTGCAGTTCACTGGCTTCCAGATAATCGCTTGCCTGATCCAAAACGCTACGTGCACCAAAGCTGACGCAGCCTTTGGCAGCATCCTCGATAGATTTCGAGTTGCGCGCTATTACTTTTATCCATTTTAGGCCGTTATTCGCCACAATGTCTACACGCAGAGGACTCTCGCGCGATTCAAGGGTAAATACAGCATTTATATCCACGACTCCTTGCTGCAGACGCAAGGTTTTTATGAGAAATTCATAGTTAACAAAGTTACTGCTTGTGATGTGATTCTCCTTTAAAGTCTTTGTGCGTATAACCTGTAATTAAATATGGGTTAGCTATAAATAAATGTTTCAGTTTGTTCAAGCACTCCGACTTTTTCCAAGAATTTAAGTTCCTGTTCTATTTTCCTTTGCACTTTTGCTACTCCTGGAATGTCCTGGAATTCGACCAAAGATTTCTTAAGTTCCTCGCCCAGCCTGATTTTCTCATTGGCTTCTGCATATAGAGCATTATCCATTTCCATTGCCACCTGCTGAGCTTAAAAACTTTCTGTTCGTATTTTAATATTATTGTCATCGGCCAGCTGATCGACTAGGGCTTCTAAAACGTATCGGAAATTTATGTTATCGAAATGAAAGAAACTCTGTAGCGAGTACTGTCAAATACCGCCCGCGTTTTCTTCCATCCACTTTTTCTTCACCGGTCAAACCAAGCGGCAGCTCTGAAAATGACGCCGCTTGAGTGATGTGAAAATATCTAATCCAAACGCATCATTATTAAAATGTGTTAATTCATTGAACAAAATAGCAAAAGGTAATTAACTAAGGTGTAATCTACTTAAATTTGGCAATATTTTAGTGATAGCTATGCACAATGTATCTCCAGAAATCAGAAATGTCTGTGCTTTGGTCGCATTTGAAGTGTGCAAAATTAAAAAATAAATGCTGCTTACTAAGCATCGTTAGGCGACACGACGTTTGTTACTGTGGCCTTGGTATTATTAAAGTAGTACATTACCGCTAAAATCTTAATATTGTGCACGTAAATTAAGTTGGTCGTTTCTAACCTCAACATACACGTTTTTTCCTACAGTGCAACTGTGTAGGCTGAAAATAGTTCTGCTTCAATATGTACTTGTATAATTTGACGCTCCAAAAGGGCACCGGCGTCACACATGCCGTGCACGGAAATTTCTCAGGCGGTAAACAGCAGGAGGTGCTGCTGTCACGTGGCAAGTCGCTGGAACTGCTGCGACCCGATCCTAACACGGGCAAAGTCCACACGCTGATGTCGACGGAAATATTTGGTTGCATACGTGCGCTAATGGCCTTCCGTCTAACAGGCGGCACAAAAGGTTGGTATGATTTAATATTTAATATAATTTGATCTATGCACAAAACCCAATTGAGGCAACTTTGTTGGTTGTTCCCAGTTTGACCTTAGTGAACGTGTCTATGTGCGAAAGTAATTTGACTTGACGTCGCATTTGCTATGACCCTTAACCACATGGCATGGCGAACTGAAACTTCGAGTTACAAGAACTTCTAACCTCAAAAAAGTACAGTTTCATTGCTTCCAATATAAAATCAGATATATTTGGCTTTTCATAGATTATATTGTCGTGGGATCAGATTCTGGACGCATTGTTATACTGGAGTATATGCCTAGCAAGAATGCCTTGGAAAAAGTACATCAGGAAACCTTTGGCAAATCGGGCTGCCGCCGCATTGTGCCGGGACAGTACTTTGCCATTGATCCCAAGGGCCGTGCCGTGATGATTGGTGCTGTTGAAAAACAAAAGCTGGCCTACATCATGAATCGAGATACCCAGGCACGACTAACTATATCTTCACCTCTGGAGGCACACAAGTCCAACACATTGACTTACCATATGGTGGGCGTGGACGTTGGCTTTGATAATCCCATGTTTGCTTGTCTGGAAATCGATTACGAGGAAGCTGACTTGGATCCAACAGGTAAATATATGTCTTATCTAAATTTCATACTATTGGCGCTTTAATTCACAGTGCATATGGATAATAGACCATTGACATTGTTATGTACTTAGCGCTAGATAAATGTGACCACTGAACCATTGGTGCCGCTGTAATTACCTAGCTACACTTCACTGATTTGTGGTCCACATCCTTTTAAATTTAATTACATTGTTGATTCCTATTTAAACTTTCCACTAAACATTATTTTTATTATTAATTTGCAGGGGATGCAGCTCAACGGACGCAACAGACGCTCACATTTTACGAACTTGATTTGGGCCTTAACCATGTTGTTCGCAAGTACTCTGAACCACTCGAAGAACATGCAAACTTCTTGGTTTCTGTGCCAGGTGGCAATGACGGACCCTCTGGCGTGCTTATTTGCTCTGAGAACTATTTGACCTACAAGAATTTGGGTGATCAGCATGATATACGTTGTCCCATACCTCGTAGACGCAATGATCTTGATGATCCTGAGCGTGGAATGATCTTCATATGCTCTGCAACCCATCGCACGAAGAGCATGTACTTCTTTCTGCTACAAACAGAGCAGGGCGATATATTCAAGATAACCCTTGAGACCGATGACGATGTGGTGTCCGAAATCAAGCTAAAGTACTTTGATACAGTGCCCCCCGCGACAGCGATGTGTGTGCTGAAGACTGGTTTTCTGTTTGTAGCCAGTGAATTTGGCAACCAGTAAGTGAAACAGGAAATTGAGACATTTTTTCAGAGCGTTCTAACCTGTTTTCTCTTTGTTTTTAATAGTTACTTGTACCAAATAGCACATTTGGGTGATGACGATGATGAACCCGAATTCAGTTCTGCTATGCCACTGGAAGAAGGTGAAACATTCTTCTTCGCTCCACGTGCATTAAAGAATCTCGTTCTGGTCGATGAGTTGCCTTCCTTTGCGCCTATTATCACCTCCCAAGTGGCTGATTTGGCCAATGAGGATACGCCACAATTGTATGTGCTGTGTGGGCGTGGACCGCGCTCCACACTTCGTGTACTGCGCCATGGTCTTGAAGTATCAGAGATGGCTGTCTCCGAGTTGCCCGGTAATCCGAATGCCGTGTGGACTGTCAAGAAACGCATTGACGGTGAGTCGATATCAAAGATTTAATTTGATCTTTGCGCTTATTTATTAAGTTTAGACCTTAAGTTTGCTAGCTATGAAATATTTCTAATAACTCAACTGGTGCATTGATGATACTGAACACGATACCCCAAGATAAAGAAATAATATTCCTATACATGTACAGGATGTGCTACGATTGTTGATTTCAACTTTTAAAATATGTATAAAAGTGCTGCAAATTCGTGGCATCCATTAAATGGGCAGATATTTGATCAGCAACAATCCTAGCCTATGTACCTGTATATAAACACGATCCAAAAGCCACAAGTTATCAACCACCAGTTCTCTCTTATTTCAGGCGCTTAAACACAGACGTCTACTGTTTGTTGTGTGACTATTGAACAGATATAAAAAGCGAGTTATCCAATAGACTCGTGTATAATACTTATAATTTATATTTGTCTTTTGTGAAGCGATAGGTAAGGCAACATTACTGCAGCTCTTAAGTCAACAGATACTACAAAACAAATGATACAAACCTTGATTACTTAATATTATAATTAAGACTTGACATTGAACATGATGTGATTACTTATCATCCGTGTTTCAAATGAATTTTACGTTGATTTCAACTTGATAACCTGATTATTCAATGTCACCAAATGCCCTTAAATTGGTATATTTACAAAGAATATTTTACTGACGATCAAAGTATTTGTGTTGTGTTCCTACTTTTAGACGAGTTTGATGCCTATATCATTGTCTCATTCGTGAATGCTACACTGGTTCTGAGCATTGGCGAGACCGTCGAGGAAGTGACGGACAGCGGTTTTCTAGGCACTACGCCAACGTTGTGCTGTGCTGCACTGGGCGACGATGCTTTGGTCCAAGTCTATCCAGATGGCATTCGTCATATACGGTCTGATAAGCGCGTAAACGAATGGAAGGCGCCCGGCAAGAAATCCATCACAAAATGCGCTGTCAATCAACGTCAGGTGGTCATTACGCTCTCTGGTCGCGAGTTGGTTTACTTCGAAATGGATCCGGTAAGCATTAAATAAGGCAGAAGAGGATATTTAAGTACAGTTGATATATCCCTGTCTTCAAACTGTATTTATATATTCTCAATACATTGCCCTGATGACAAAAACACGAAAAAGAACAATCATGTTGAGACACTTTGTGTCCTGCAGTGCTGAGCAATTATTAGACAATGTATTTTTGCAAAATAACCCCGATTGATGAAGATTACTAATTGAGAATAATCTACCTACAGACTGGTGAACTGAACGAGTACACGGAACGGTCGGAAATGCCTGCAGAGATCATGTGCATGGCTCTGGGCACGGTGCCAGAGGGCGAGCAACGATCTTGGTTCTTAGCAGTTGGTCTGGCTGATAACACTGTGCGCATACTTTCTCTGGATCCCAATAATTGCCTCTCTCCGTGCTCCATGCAGGCGCTACCCTCGCCGGCCGAGTCGTTGTGTTTGGTCGAAATGGGTCATACGGAGAGTACGACCAATGCCGGTGCAGATGATGATGTGCCGGCACAACGCAGCGGCAGCAATAAGGGCACCATCTATCTGAATATTGGATTAAGTAACGGTGTCTTACTGCGCACTGTGTTGGATCCTGTATCTGGCGATTTGGCGGATACCCGAACACGTTATTTGGGTTCACGTCCGGTGAAACTGTTCCGCATCAAGATGCAAGGTTCTGAAGCCGTGTTGGCCATGTCTAGCCGCACCTGGTTGTCCTACTATCATCAGAATCGTTTCCATTTGACACCGCTGTCGTATGAGACGTTAGAATATGCTTCGGGCTTCTCTAGCGAACAGTGTAGTGAGGGCATTGTGGCTATATCGACTAATACTCTGCGTATCCTCGCGTTGGAGAAACTGGGCGCGGTTTTCAATCAGGTGGCTTTTCCACTGCAATTCACGCCGCGGGCCTTTGTCATACATCCGGATACGGGTCGCATGTTGATTGCTGAAACGGATCATAATGCGTACACCGAGGAAACAAAGAACACGCGTAAGGAGCAAATGGCTGAGGAAATGCGTAGCGCTGCTGGCGAAGAGGAGCGCGAACTGGCCAGGGAAATGGCCAACGCTTTCATCAATGAAGTGCTGCCCGAGGATGTGTTCTCTGCACCCAAGGCAGGACTCGGCTTATGGGCTTCGCAAATACGCTGCCTAGATGCCATGCACGGCCAAACGATGTTCACTGTGCCCCTAACACAGAACGAGGCTATCATGTCGATGGCCATGCTTAAGTTCTCCGTTGCTGCTGATGGTCGCTATTATTTGGCTGTGGGAATTGCCAAGGATCTACAGCTGAATCCGCGTATCTCGCAAGGTGGATGCATTGATATTTACAAAATTGATCCAACTTGCTCGGCACTAGAATTTCTACATCGTACTGAGATCGAGGAGATACCCGGCGCATTGTGTGGTTTCCAGGGTCGCCTACTAGCTGGCTGTGGTCGCATGCTGCGCATCTATGATTTGGGCAAGAAGAAGATGCTGCGCAAGTGCGAAAATAAACACATTCCCTACCAGATTGTCAACATTCAAGCGATGGGCCACCGTGTCTATGTCTCTGATGTCCAGGAGTCTGTATTCTTCATACGCTATCGTCGCGCCGAGAATCAGCTCATCATATTCGCTGATGATACCCATCCGCGTTGGGTAACGGCCACAACTCTCTTGGATTATGATACCATTGCTATTGCTGATAAGTTTGGCAACCTGAGCATTCAACGCCTGCCGCACTCAGTCACCGATGATGTGGACGAAGATCCTACAGGCACGAAGTCGCTCTGGGATCGTGGATTGCTGTCGGGTGCCTCGCAGAAGTCTGAGAACATTTGCTCGTTCCATGTGGGAGAGATTATCATGTCGCTACAGAAGGCCACTCTCATTCCCGGAGGCTCCGAAGCACTCATCTATGCCACATTGAGCGGTACCGTGGGCGCTTTCGTGCCGTTCACTAGTCGTGAGGACTACGACTTCTTCCAGCACTTGGAGATGCACATGCGCAATGAAAACCCGCCCTTATGTGGTCGGGATCATCTCAGCTACCGCAGCTCATA